CGTCGTACGTCGTACGTCGTTCGTAAACTTTTGAACATTTTCAGCTTCTTCTCTGCAACCACTGAACCAATTTCAACCAAATTTGGCACAAAGCATCTATGGGTGAAGAGGAACAAAAATTGTGAATTTCATGATCCCTGCCCCCCTGGGGCCTGAGGGGTGGGGCCAAAACCACGAAAATTAATGCAATCTTTAAAAATCTTCTTCTTTATTCCTGGAAATCAAGCAGTCAAACTGTTTGCATGATTGTAATCAGCATTGAGTCCTCTACCAAAATTGTGAAATTCATGGCCCTGGGGTCAGGGGTTATAGTGCTAGGGCAGGGCTAAATAAGTAGGTAGTGAAAATGCATTATTTCTCTGAAAATCTTCTTCTCTGCTCCTGGGTATTAAATAAACCAATTAAGTAGTTAGTTATGATGAGCAAGAGTGCTTCTACCAAAATTGTGAATTTTATGGCCCCAGGGTCAGGGTTTCTGTTGTTTGGGCGGGGCTCTGTTGATTATATACAGTGAAAATACATGATTTCTTTGAAAATCTTCTTCTCTGCCCCTGGATATTGAATAAACTAACTAAGTGCATAGTTATGATGAGCAAGAGTGCCTCTATCAAAATTGTGAATTTTTTGGCCCCAGGGTCAGGGGTTCTGGTAGGGGGGGGCTTTATAGATTATATAGTAAAAATACATGAATTCTTTGAAAATCTTCTTCTCTGCTCCTAGATATTAAATAAATTAACTAAGTGCATAGTTATGATGAGCATGAGTGACTCTACCAAAATTGTGAATTTTATGGCCCCAGGGTCAAGAGTTCTGGTGTTAGGGGGGGGGGCTCTATTGATAATATTGTGAAAATACACAAATTCTTTGAAAATCTTCTTCTTTGCTCGTAGGTATTAAATAAACTAACTAAGTGCATAGTTATGATGAGCAAGAGTGCCTCTACCAAAATTGTGAATATTATGGTCCCTGGGTCAAGGGTTCTCTTGTAGGGGGGGGGGGGGGCTCTATAGATTATATAGTAAAAAAACATGAATTCTTTGAAAATCTTCTCTGCTCCTAGTCATTAAATAAACTAACAAAGTGCATAGTTAAGATGAGCAAGAGTGCTTTTACCAAAATTGTGAATTTTATGGTCCCAGGGTCAGGGGTTCTGGTGTTAGGGTGGGGCTTTATTGATTATTTAGTAGAAATACATGAATTCTTTGAAAATCTTCTTCTCTGCTCCTAGGTATTAAATAAACTAACTAAGTACATAGTTATGATGAGCAAGAGTGCTTTTACCAAAATTGTGAATTTTATGGTCCCAGGATCAGGGGTTCTGGTGTGTGTGTGTGTGTGTGGGGGGGGGGGGGGCTCTGTTGATTATATAGTGAATATACATTAAATCTTTGAAAATTTTCTTCTCTGTCTCTGGGTATGAAGCAGATGAACTACCTAAATAGTTATGATGAGCAAGGGCCCTAATCTTGCAGAATTTTGAATTTCAAGGCCCCAGGGTCAGGGGTGGGGGTGGAGCTCTACTTATATACTAATGAATTAATTGTTTGAAATCTGCTCCTTTGTATTTATAAAACATTTATTTATTTTTTGATAGGCAATTTTAACGGTGCCTTTTTAAAATTTGTGCAATGTGTGGACCTAGGGTCAGGGGTTTATTTCACAGTGTTAGGGGCACTACTGATTATTGCTGAATATTACTGATTAGTTGGAATGCATTTTTGTTCCCTTACCTTGCGTATGGGTATTCAGTACCCCTGCGAGGTGATCATGAATAATTCATTTATTTCCTTGAATTTTTCATGAATTTTATTCATGAAATGTTCATGAAGATCCTATGAACTTATTATTGGGCATATTTAAATCAATAAACCAAGCTGAGCAACTGTAGTGTATTTTTATGATGATCAATGGTGCCTCTTTCAAAATTGTGAATGCCATATAGCATCTGGCTTAAAACATGAATCAAATTCAATAACTGGAAAGTTGTTGCAGAATGCTCAGGTGACCTATAAGGCCCATGGGCCTCTTGTTTATTCGATAAACTTAATTCAATAGTTGTTTGTTTTTTAGGTCACCTGAGTAAACTCAGGTGACCTATTGCTATCCGTTTTCGTCCGTCGTCGTCCGTCGTGTGTCGTGTGTTGTGTGTCGTGTGTCGTGTGTCGTGTGTTAACATTTGAACATTTTCAGCTTCTTCTCTGCAACCACTGAACCAATTTCAACCAAATTTGGCACAAAGCATCTATGGGTGAAGGGGAACGAAAATTGTGAATTTCATGATCCCTGCCCCCCTGGGGCCTGAGGGGTGGGGCCAAAACCACTAAAATTAATGCAATCTTTAAAAATCTTCTTCTTTACTCCTGGACATCAAGCAGTCAAACTATTTGCATGATTGTAATCAGCATTGAGTCCTCTACCAAAATTGTGAAATTCATGGCCCTGGGGTCAGGGGTTCTAGTGCTAGGGCGGGGCTAAATAAGTATATAGTGAAAATGCATTATTTCTTTGAAAATCTTCTTCTCTGCTTCTGGGTATTAAATAAACCAACTAAGTACATAGTTATGATGAGCAAGAGTGCCTCTACCAAAATTGTGAATTTTATGGCCCCAGGGTCAGGGGTTCTGGTGTTAGGGTGGGGCTCTATTGATTATATAGTAAAAATACATGATTTCTTTGAAAATCTTCTTCTCTGCCCCTGGGTATTAAATAAACCAAGTAAGTAAATAATTATGATGAGCAAGAGTGCCTCTACCAAAATTGTGAATTTTATGGCCCCAGGGTCAAGGGTTCTGGTGTTGGAGGGGGGGGGGCTCTATTGATTATATAGTGAAATTACATGAATTCTTCGAAAATCTTCTTCTCTGCTCCTAGGTATTAAATAAACTAACTAAGTGCCTAGTTATGATGAGCAAGAGTGCCTCTACAAAAATTGTGAATTTTATGGCCCCAGCATCAATGGTTCTGGTGGGGGGGGGACCTTATTGTTTATAAAGTGAAAATACATGAATTCTTTGAAAATCTTCTTCTCTGCTCCTAGGTATTAAATAAACTAACTAAGTACATAGTTATGATAAGCAAGTGTTCCTCAACCAAGATTGTGAATTTTATGGCCCCAGGGTCAAGGGTTCTGGTGTGTGTGTGTGGGGGGGGGGGGGGGGGCTCTATTGATTATATAGTGAAAATATGTGAATTCCTTGAAAATCTTCTTCTCTGCTCCTAGGTATTATATAAACTAACTAAGTGCATAGTTACGATGAGCAAGTGTGCCTCAACCAAAATTGTGAATTTAATGGCCCTATCATCAAGGGTTCTGGTGTTGGGGGGGGGGGGGGGGGCTCTATTGATTATATTGTGAAATTACATGAATTCTTTGAAAATCTTCTTCTCTGCTCCTAGCTATTAAATAAATTAACTAAGTGCATAGTGATGATGAGCAAGAGTGCCTCAACCAAAATTGTGAATTTTATGGCCCCAGCGTCAAGGGTTATGGTGTTGGGGGGGGGGGGGGGGGCTCTATTGATCATATGGTGAAAATACATGAATTCTTTGAAAATCTTCTTCTCTGCTCCTAGGTATTAAATAAACTAACTAAGTGCCTAGTTATGATGAGCAAGAGTGCCTCTACAAAAATTGTGAATTTTATGGCCCCGGCGTCAATGGTTCTGGTGGTGGTGGGGGGGGGGGGCTTTATTGATTATATAGTGAAAATACATGAATTCTTTGAAAATCTTCTTCTCTGCTCCTAGGTATTAAATAAACTAAGTAAGTGCATAGTTATGATGAGCAAGAATGCCTCTTCTAAAATTATGAATTTCATTGCCCCAGGGTCTGGGGTTCTGGTGTTAGGGTGGGGCTCTATTGATTATATAGTGAAAATACATTGTACATTAAATCTTTGAAAATTTTCTTCTCTGTCTCTGGGTATGAAGCAGATGAACTACTTGTATAGTTATGATGAACAAGGGCCCTAATCTTGCAGAATTGTGAATTTCAAGGCCCCAGGGTCAGGGGTGGGGGGGTGGGGGGCTCTACTTATATACTGAAAATGAATTAATTGTTTGAAATCTGGTCCTTTGTATTTATAAAACATTTATTTACTTTTTGATAGGCAATTTTAAGGGTGCCTTTTAAAAATTTGTGCAACCTAGGGTCAGGGGTTTATGTGAGAGTGTTAGGGGCACTACTGATTATTGATTAATATTACTGATTAGTTGGAGTGCATTTTTGTTCCCCTACCCTGCTTATGGGTATTCAGTAACCAAGCTAAGCAACTGCTAAGTTTATTGTTATGATGATCAATGGTGCCCTTTCAAAATTGTGAATGCCATATAGCATCTGGCTTAAAACATGAATCAAATTCAATACACTGTAACTGGAAAGTTGTTGCATAATGCTCAGGTGACCTATAAGGCCCGTGGGCCTCTTGTTTTAATTATTATTATTTGAAGACTTCTTTACATAAAAAAAATCACTTGTCCAATCGGACAAGTGCCCAGCAATATTCACTTGTCCGTAATTTTTTTTCATTGGTACCAGACAAGCTGACAAGCGTTAATGTCGAGCCCTGCTTGTTTTCCAGAAGATGGGAAATTCAATTCATCGCCGAATTCGTTATACCGCCATGATTTCTAAATTACAATAGGTGGCGGTTTATCGAGAATTAACTGTATTACAAAATATACCTTCGATTACTAAGGTTTAATTATTAATTGAATTTTATATACAAATACTAAAAGAAAATAAAGTTAGTTCAATTTATCAAATTTTGAAATCTTTGAAAGTTCGTTATAAAAGATATAATTTAAATTTCATTATATTAAACCTCAACAGGACCGACATATCCATAAATTTGTTATATCAGAGTTCGTTATAACCGTATCATTTTACAAAGATTTGTTAAGAATTTTGTCAGGGACCCAGAAAAACTTCGCTATATCTGTGAATTCGCTATATCTGTGTTCGCACTAAATGAGTATCCGTTTTTTAATCTCTATTTACAGGTCTAACAGTGATAACTAGGTCACGATGTCAGAGTTGAATACCAGGAACACACCTCATACTGAACACTTGAATGCTGACGAGTCTATTGGTATGTATAAAGGAAAAGAATGTGGTTATATATGAGAATAAAGAAGTCTTAGAAACTCCAATTTTGGCCACTTATAACCAGGATCTATGGTGATAATTCTTCGATGGAAAAGCTCCCTGTAACCGAGATGCCCATATAAGTGGATTCTTTGTAAGAAGGTTTCACTGTACCTTCTAACATTTTGTCATAGTTATCATGGTTATTTAATTTACTGAATTTCATTAATGAAATCACATTGAATAAGTGGAGTTATTTTATTCTTTTACGTGTGTTATGGACTTTAAAGAAAAAATTCAAAGTACAATACTGTGAAATCACTAATTTCGTAGGGTTTAATTTTCGTTGTTTTCGTGGTATGAAGAGACCCACGAATTCGTGTCCACCATGAAATGTAATTTTTCATAAGCACAAATACTTAAAAGTTCTTCATCCACGAAATCAAATCCCCACAAACCAACATTTTTTCCTTCAACCACGAAAATTTGACCCCACGAAAATATGTGATTTTACAGTACTTAGATCAAGTTCCTTGTTTCCAAAGAGCTCTTGTATACATACATATACAACATATACAGTGATTATCTTTGTATAATTTAAATTGTAGTTTTATTTATTGTTTTCCTGTGTTTTAATTGGCGGAGAACATGCTACTTCAAGAAAATGATTGCACATGGATAAAAACTCTCAGTCAGAACTACTTTCTTGACAAAGCTTTTATTTTAACAAAAAAATGAAACAAATCCTAGCCTAGCTGTTTTAGCCTTTTAGGTTAAGAATTACAGAACGGAAATTTAAAATTTAAATAAAAACAAAACTAGCAACAAACAAAACAGACAGATGGGAATACATGTAGTAATATGTTTATTTCACTGTCAGATCACAAGTGTAGTCATTCCTAATCATGATAATACTAAGAAAATCAGCTGAAGTGGTTATCGATAGGAAAGAAAAACGTAACAAATCAACTCAGTCGGTTATCAGTAGCTCTAAAGGAAAGAAAAACGTAACCTCAGTCCACAAGATAGCTCTTGCCTTATTTTTTTTATAGAGCTTTTATTGTTAGCTCACCTGAGCTGAAAGCTCAAGTGAGCTTTTCTGATCACATTTTGTCTGTAGTCCGTCTGTCCGCCTGTCCGTCCGTCTGTCTGTAAACTTTTCACATTTTCGACTTCTTCTCATGAACCACTGGGCCAATTTTAACGAAACTTGCCACAAAGCATCCTTTGGTGAAGGGGATTCCATTGGTTCAAATGAAGGGCTCAATCTCTCACCAGAGGGCGCGCTCCACTTACACCTCTGTTGTCTTCTAAAAAGTAGTGCGGATTGTCAAATAATTAAATGTCAACAAAAATGTATAAACATTGATTGTTTTGTATGTTTTGCCAATGATGTTACGTGTTTGAAGCTCTCTGGCAGTAAATATTTTCTAACTTTGTCTCCTTGATTTCAAAATGAAAATGTGTGTAAAAATTCAAAACAAAATAGTGCCGTATATATTGAAGCTATTTTAATATATATCCAAATTTTAAAAGAACAAAAGAAGTGCTACAGATTGATATTTCTAGTTTCATTTTAAAAAATTACCAATTTGGTATGAATCTATAATTTATTTTCGTTTTACAAGATTCTTGTAATTTAGACGATAACAGAGGGGTTGGAGCGGAGCGTAAAAACGTCATCTGGTGAGAGATTGATGAAGGGCCAAGCCCTCTTCCAAGGGGAGATAATTATGAATTAATGAAAAATTAATGGAATCTTTTAAAAATCTTCTTCTCCAGAACCACTGGGCCAGGAAAGATGAAACTGATGTGGAAGCATCCTCAGGTAGTGTAGATTCAAGTTTATTTAAATCATGACCCCCAAGGGGTAGGGCGGGGCCACAATGGCCGACCAAAGTTTTACATAGAAACATATAGGAAAATTCTTTAAAAATCTTCTTCTCAAGAATGACAAAGCCATAATTGATCATATTTATATGGAAGCATCCTCAGGTAGTGTAGATTCAAATTTGTTCAAATCATGACCCCATGGGGTAGGGCTTGGCCACAATGGCCGACCAAAGTTTTACATAGAAATATATAGGAAAATTCTTTAAAAATCTTCTTCTCAAGAATGACAAAACCATAATTGATCATATTTATATGGAAGCATCCTCAGGTAGTGTAGATTCAATTTTGTTCAAATCATGACCCCCTGGGGTAGGGCTGGGCCACAATGGCCGACCAAAGTTTTACATAGAAATATATATATATATAGGAAAATTCTTTAAAAATCTTCTTCTCAAGAATGACAAAGTCATAATTGATTATATTTATATGGAAGCATCTTCAGGTAGTGTAGATTCAAGTTTGTTCAAATCATGACCCCCGGGGTAGGGAGGGGCCACAATGGCCGACCAAAGTTTTACATAGAAATATATAGGAAAATTCTTTAAAAATCTTCTTCTTAAGAATGACAAAGCCATAATTGATAATATTTATATGGAAGCATCCTCAGGTAGTGTAGATTCAAGTTTGTTTAAATCATGACCCCCGTTATAGGGCGGGGCCACAATGGCCGACCCAAGTTTTACATAGAAATATATATGGGAAAATTCTGTAAAAATCTTCTTCTCAAGAATGACAAAGCCATAATTGATCATATTCATATGGAAGCATCCTCAGGTAGTGTAGATTCAAATTTGTTCAAATCATGACCCCCGGGGGTAGGGCGGGGCCACAATGGCCGACCCAAGTTTTACATAGAAATATATAGGAAAATTCTGTAGAAATCTTCTCAAGAATAGCAAAGCCATGATTGGTCATGGGACTACCTTTTGATTTAAACTCTTTAATAATAAATCAATTTCTACTTTTTCCTAGCCACAGTGTTCAGGTGAGCGATGTGGCCCATGGGCCTCTTGTTAGTTGTTTATGTCAACAAGTTCAAGGGCAAATTCTTCTGAAGTCTACTTGTATTTAGGGCTATTCCAGAAAAAAATGTATGGGAGGGTTGGAAGACACTTCATATATTTTTGTATGGGTAATGGGGACTGGAGCAATTAAATTTGCATGGTGGTTGTCTTCATCTGTTATATTTCTAGATGGGTGGTTGTACTTTTTAGGTCACCTGAGTAAACTCAGGTGACCTATTGCTATCTGTTTTCGTCCGTCGTGCATTAACATTTGAACATTTTCAGCTTCTTCTCTGCAACCACTGAACCAATTTCAACCAAATTTGGTACAAAGCATCTATGGGTGAAGGGGAACAAAAATTGTGAATTTCATAATCCCTGCCCCCCTGGGGCCTGAGGGGTGGGGCCAAAACCACTAAAAATAATGCAATCTTTAAAAATCTTCTTCTTTACTCCTGGACATCAAGCAGTCAAACTGTTTGCATGATTGTAATCAGCAATGAGTCCTCTACCAAAATTGTGAAATTCATGGCCCTGGGGTCAGGGGTTCTAGTGCTAGGGCGGGGCTAAATAAGTAGGTAGTGAAAATGCATTATTTCTTTGAAAATCTTCTTCTCTGCTCCTGGGTATTAAATAAACCAACTAAGTACATAGTTATGATGAGCAAGAGTGCCTCTACCAAAATTGTGAATTTTATGGCCCCAGGGTCAGGGGTTCTTGTGTTAGGGCGGGGCTCTATTGATTATATAGTGAAAATACATGAATTCTTTGAAAATCTTCTTCTCTGCTCCTGGGTATTAAATAAACTAACTAAGTACATAGTTATGATGAGCAAGAGTGTCTCTACCAAATTTGTGAATTTTATGGCCCCAGGGTCAGGGGTTCTTGTTTTAGGGTGGGGCTCTAATGATTATATAGTGAAATGCATGAATTCTTTGAACATCTTATCCTTTGCTCCTGGTTAATATACTAATGATCTAATTACATATTTAAGGCCAGGATTTATTTTATTTTCAGTTTTACAAACCCTCCACTCAAGGTTTTGAATTTTCAGAAAAAAATAAAACAATTTTTTTTCTTTCTGATGTCAAATTTGAGTCGGGATCGAGATTTCAAATTTACGAACTCGCACTTCCGGTTTTAAGATGACACGGCGGGTAAATAAAGCTAGATCTGACAAGATAGCTTGGTTTAGTGTAAAATTCATCGATACGAGTGCCATTCAAAACGTTTCACCCGTTCAAAGGAGAAATAAAATGCTGACGACTTTGTTGCACAATGACATGCTGGTGAGATAATTATGTATTGGTTTCAAAAGTATCTGTCTCTAAATTATTTTCCTCCTCCAGGTTTTAAACTGCCCGTGGTCGCTATTGCATATTGCCAGCAACATTGTTTAGGTCTCTGTTATAGCTTACATTCTAAGCATCATTCTTCAGAAAAGGGTTGCTTATGCATCAGATGTAATAAATAAACCTATGGGAGAAGTTAAGTCCATTTGAGGAAGAAATAAACAATAGCCTAAAGAAATTAAAAAAAAAATCAACTATTAAAAGGCAAGAATATACAAATATATACAGGCATGTAGTATCATTTGTATCAGCCAGAAAAATTATTTTAGACTTATTTGAAAAAATGTTCACCCTACTCCCCAATACTCCCTGTCTGTTTTATGATAGGAATTATAATTTTAGGCATCAAGTAAATTTTAGAACAATGTCTACACATTCACCTAACACATATTAGAAAAATGAAGATATATTGAAAGACTTTTAAAGAATAGATTTTTTAAAATACATTTTGACCAACATCACAAAATTTATATAACTAGCCCAAACTGGCAGATGATGAAATAAGCAATTAAATGTTCTACTTTCCTATTTGTGCATTATGTGTCCAGTGGTAAGGAGCCTATTAGAATAGCATAAAAAAAGAATGTACAAATGTTAATAATTGATTTATCAAAATTTTTTTTTTATTTCCTTCTCCTTCGGGACTTTTTTATTCTCATGTTCATAACAGTAAACTACCGGTAAACCTAAACATAAAAAAAATGCTGGCCTTATAATGAAGAAAGGGGCCTCTTTCAAAATAGATAATT